GGGGGCGGGTGGCGGCGAGTTGCCTTACAGAAAAGCAACGACAAAAAAACAATAACAACAACAAAAAAAAGACCCAGCAGGATCCGAAGGAGACGTTAACGCCATTTCCCCCTCCTGCCTCCCCTCCCCTCCTTTTCTAGTCTCTACTCCTCTAGGCCAGGGCAGAGTCAATCAGCTCGGAGGAGTGTTTATCAATGGCAGGCCTTTACCCAACCATATCCGACACAAGATAGTGGAGATGGCCCACCATGGCATAAGGCCCTGTGTCATCTCTCGCCAGCTGCGAGTGTCCCACGGCTGCGTCTCCAAAATTCTCTGCAGGTACCAGGAGACGGGCTCCATCCGGCCGGGGGCCATCGGCGGCAGCAAGCCCAAGGTGAGCCCCTCGGCGCCGGTCCGGAGCCGGGCAAACCCCGGCCGCGGCGGTGGGGAGCGAGGCCCGACCGGGACTCAGGTCAGGGTGGCTGGCAGCGGGGTTTGCAGGCGGGAGGCCAGCACCCCGGGAGGGCCGGGGGGACTATGCGGAGGCCGGGGGCGGGCGCAGACACGCACCGGTCACGGCACCGCCTGCCGCATCCCCGCCTGTTGCTCGGAAACTTTCCGAGGCTTTAAAAAGTATTGTTGAAGTTCGCGGCAGTTTTTTTTTTTTCTTCCAGTGAAGAAAACGCTATTTAAAAAAATAACTTCTCAAACGAAACTAGGGAGAAAGGGGTCGTTTTCTGAACGCTTGGCCCTCCAAAGCCCCGAGCGTCCCACGCTCAGCCCCGCGGGAGCCGCGGGCGGGCTCGGCGCGGCCGGGACGGACCGGGGAAGCGATCGGTCAGATGTCAGGGCTTGCGCAGCGCGGCGGGATCGGGCCCTCGCTTCTTTCGTTGCGAAGCGCAAAAAAATTACCTGTATTCCTGTCTGTCTGCCTGCCTACTGCTCCTTCTCCTGCTCTGTTTATTTTTCTGTCCGCTCCAAAGCTGCGTGGATTTATAGCTACACCGCTAAAAAGTTTGCTCTCACAATAATGCAGACAAATATGGATTCTGGTCTCAAGATTAGCCGCCTCCTTCTACTGTAGCTTTTCTTTCCCACAAAAAAATAAGTAAAGGCTTGAGTTTCTGTTGAAAGTTGCTGTTAGATTTTTTTTTTTTTTTTTACCCTTTGTTGCTTCTAAAGTAGCAATGCCTGAACTTTCCCTTTCGGTGTTAGGACTAGAGATGTTTTTTTATAAGCGTGTTACCCGAACGAAAAGCTTTTCCCAGGCGGGAGACCTTTGTTTTGTTTGAATTCGGCTTTATTTTAAAATCACGAGGCCATCGAAGAAACCTCTTGGTGCTCGGACCTCTCAGCGTTTTTATTACGCTACTTTTTATTTGTCGCTGCAAACTTCGTTCAGCCGAAACTTTACTGACTTGGAGCTTCGCTGACACCGAGTCATGCTCTAATGGCGACCCAGAACTTCGCCGGGATTTTGTTCTCGGCCGCACGGCAGCCGGTGCTGCCTAGTTCGGGGATTTTCTTGCCGAGGGCTCGATCCCACCTTCCCCTGTGACCCCGGAGGATTTCCTGGGAAGTTTCGTTTAGCCCGGGGGCTGCTCGTCTTATGCGGTCCCGTCGTTACCTATTACGTCGCCTCTGATTTTAACCTGCCCGTCCTCGGGGCGTTTTATAACGGAGTTTCTAAGCGGGGCCGGGGCCGGGGCCGGCTCTCGCTGGCGGCGGTGCGGGTCGGCGCGGCGGCGGCGGCGGGTCGGC